GAGAGAGAAAGAACAGCTCGTGCGTGATAAAATCTTGCGCATTCATCACGAGAACAAGGATCTCTCGCATCGTTCCATCGCTAAAACGTTGGGAATCGCGAATTCCACGGTGTCGCGAGTGATTAAGCGGTTCGAGGAACGGTTGACCACCGATCGGAAGCCCAGAAGTGAAGGAAAAAGTATTCCGTACAACACCAAACATCACAACCGCGTAGTTGGGGCCTTCAACCGAAATCCGAACGCCTCCGTTAGGGATGTGGCTAAGAAGCTGCACCTAAGCCGAAGTTTTGTCCAGAAGGCCAAAACTAAGGCTGGGCTTCGAACGTTCAAGATACAAAAGGCCCCTAATCGCGACGAGAAGCAGAACAAGTCCGCCAAAACCCGTGCCAGGAAGTTGTATCTCAACATGCTGACGAAAGTTGAATGCTGCATCATGGACGACGAAACATATGTGAAGGCCGACTTCAAATAGATCCCCGGCAACCTGTTTTTCACGGCCAAGGATAAGTTCAGCGTTCCGGAGCATGTCCGCACTCAGAAGATGTCCAAATTTGCGAAGAAATTCCTGGTTTGGCAAGCCATCTGCACGTGCGGGAAGCGGAGTGCACCTTTCGTGACCCAGGACACGATGAACGGACAGGTGTACATAAAAGAGTGCCTCCAGAAGCGGCTGCTTCCTCTCCTGAAGGCCCACAACGTCCCAACAATCGTCTGGCCGGATTTGGCCTCATGCCACTACTCCAAGGACGTGCTGAAGTGGTATGCGGACAATAAGGTCAATTTCGTGCCGAAAATGTTCAACCCTCCCAACACTCCAGAGCTCCGCCCCATCGAGAAGTACTGGGCGATTATGAAGCAGCACCTTCTTAAACGACCTAAGGTAGTGAAGACAGTCGAGGAACTGAAGAAAGTATGGGTTTACATGCAAAAAACGGTTGATTCACAGGTTGTGCAGAATCTTATGGCCGGGGTTAAGGCCAAGGTGCGGGCATTTGCGTATGGACTGTAAATAAAATACGAGTAAATGGTAAAATGAAGTTTAATAGTTATTTCTCAATCCCTGAAAATTTGATGGCAATCGGATGAAAACTCGAATTTTGCGAATCAATTTTGTGTATGGCAATTTCATCGTGGACACCCTTTAAGAACCGATCTGCCTTCAGTTTGAAACCAAACAAAAGAACCAATCTGGAGTTGTGTTCTAGTAAAGGGAGTCTACCGCAACTGCGTTTCTACTTGTCCTTCTCCTTGAAGCGGTTGGACAACTGGCATCCAGATGATTCTTCAGTAAGAGGAGGACACAGTGTCGAGATGTTGGACAATGGTTTCATGAATAAATTATAATTTAATTTAATGCTAGGGGAAATGGCTCTAATGTTGGCCTATGGATCTAAGATTGGGCCCATCGCTAAAAATCTACTATTTATCAATTTTATCTAGGTGAACGCGTCATTGGGACGGTACTAATGGATATTTTTGGTTGCTATTGAAAATTTAGTCGATTGCTGAATTTATGCATGGGCCCAAATTAGGGGCATTTAGGCCGACATTACATCCATTTCCCCTATTTATATTTTATCGCAATAAACCTAAAATTTGCACATTTATATTTGTTTACAATTTAAGCAAACGAAAATAAGTCGATGGGAGCTCTAACACCGACGAACCGACGTGGCAGCTCATAGAAGCTACATTCAAATTCTTGCTCAAGACGCCGTATCTAAAATACGTTAAACACTACCGCCATCTACTCATCCGATCGCGTCATATCGTGAGCAAGGACACGAACACACGTTAAAGTTATAGACCTTTTTGACGTTTAATCGTCTTTCTCTATCTTGCACACAGGGATGAATTGATGGTTTGTTTTCCCACTAATCTGTTTCCCTCTTGCTTGCACTCCTTCAATTTAAATGGTCCATTAGTGTGCGCCGATTAAACGTCAAAAAGCTCTATATTGACTTGGTTTACGTCTCGCCTCTTTTGGCAGAACTGATCGTCCGTTTGAAAGATCTGATTGCCCGTTTGAGAAATCGAATCACTCATTTGACAAATCGAATTGTGGACAAACGAAATGCTCCAGTGGCATGTCGGTTCGTCGGTGGCTCTAATACATTTGGCCCAATAAAACCCTATTAAACATCATTCAGATGCTCGCACTTTATACATTTGAGTGCATTAACCAATTTTATACTAAGTTTGCATTCGCTCTCTTTATACCAAGCTATGCATTTTTATACTATTTACACTTGAATATTTTTTTAGTGTACCTACGCGAAAGCCGATTTAAAAAATCAACGGTCGTGTGACATCTTCTAGAAGCTGAAATCTTTCCGAGTGAATGCAACATTATAAAGGCGCAAGAAATTAATGCTTGGAAAAATCTTTCCTAAATCAGGGCCTAAATGCACCGCCAGGACTCCAGAAGTACTGATACTGAAACGTTCCTGCCTAATGTGATAACGATTCTCAACGAATGTGGTTGGTAATTATGGGAAAGAGGAAAGATTTAAATTTTACTAAGCTCAATTGAAGGTTACATTTTATACCATATACTACTTATCTGAAATATACTGATAACAAACATTCATGCGAGCGTTCCATGTTATGACCATTTTCTTTAGTGACAGTTACTCTCGCCTCACACGGTAGGGCGAATTGCCCCACTGCCTTCTAACCACTACTTCAGGCCCATTAAGCACTCCTCGCCTACTTAGTATTTATTGTTTGAATTACGATCGAAATTGAGTGCTTTCTCTTATAATATCACCTTAATTTGGGTCCCATCTCATTGCTCTATTCCGGGTAATGAGAAAGCGGACTCGCTGGCTAAGGTAGGCGCTATGGAAGACGATACCTATGAGCGTCAAATCGCCTGTAACGATTTTTTCTCTATTGCTCGTCAGCAAGTGATCGTCAACTGGCAATTATAGTGATTTGGAAAGATAGTTACATTCTATTCTCCCACTGGTGTCGAACAAACCTATATATACTGAACCAAAGGTTTGAACTTAAGCGGCGCCGGTGGTGTAGTAGTAAGCGTGATTACCTCTCACCCCAACAGGCCTGGGTTCAATACCAGTCGGCGCCACCGGGATGTTCTGAGGCATAACGTCTCTGATGACGCCTAGGGAGGGAAGCAAAGCCGTTGGTCCCGGTTCATGAGTTTGATGGGTCGATATGTAGGGTCCAGGTGTGGGAGCTGCCTTCCTGTCGTCGGTAGCATTGGTGCTCAGCACGGAAAACAAGACCGACGGAAAACAAATCAAGGAAAAAAAAGGGGTGTACATGGGTCGCGACTTTTTTATACGCGTTATGTCAAGGCTTATGTCCAATCACTGTTCGAAAGACCTTCGCGACGGTTATCACGAAATCGGGCATTTTGTTTGGTCAAGTATGCAATTGTTATCTCTAACTTCGGACAAGCTCGCGTTCCATTATAATTAGTTTTAAGAAAACTTTGTTAAACAAAAATTGAACTTCGGCTCCATAAAGCTAATGGGAATGAACCTTCCCAAAAAAAAATGTTATAAATGTAATTTGCTTAACGACGTGTTCGGGTATCATCCAAACCATTTGTGGAATAGTTCAATCATTTGGGTTATCGTTCGTTAATGTTATTTTTATTAGGGTTGGCAATACACGAATTATGTATCCAGCTTTCCATGCTCGGTAATGGCGGCCTGTTTGTATGAATAAATGTATCCTTCACTGTGGTTTTTGACACTATTCTTTTAAAAAATTAGCTTTTCAATAAATCACCAAAAAGGAATACCATACATTGATTCATGATGAGATAGGATTGAAATGTGTTCATTTTCAAGATATATTGAGGGTGACACTCTTCCCCGGTTGACCTTCTTGCCCCTAGTTCCCCTAGGGGTGACATTGGGCTAAAACATCAGATTAATTATTGTTCGTTCCCTACCTTACAACATTAGCAAGCAAAACAAATTTTAATCATAAGAATATATTCATCAATGATATATTCACGACTTTCATGGAAATGGTTGATTGAAATTAATATCTAATTTTATTAAAATTAAATAAAAAATAGACCAATCCTAAACCTTATATAACATTGGGCAAAAACATAAATTCGGTTAAAATATTTTAAAATATCTAGATGTAACGTAGCTATTAGGAGTACACTTGGTTATGATCACAATGTATTTCGTATGTACCGTGGACCCCCGCTAATCTGACCGTTTTTAATCTGAACACTTTTTAATTTGAACCCCGTTAATTTGCATGCCGTGCAAACTCAAAAATTGCTCAAACGTCATACAGTATATGGAATTGAGGAAAGCGAAATGGAACATTGCGAAACGGAACTCTGAATAAAAAAAACAGCAAATGAGTTTACCAGAAACATGCATTTCTGATGCTGATAGGGTTACTAGAAGTGCAAATTAAAAATGAACCCCGTTAATATCTATGAAGTGCCAGATTAGCGGGGGTCGACGGTATATTTAAAGATCGCGTGTTACCCTCGTCTATCCACATCAAAGTGTGTTCAAACTTTTGTTTACCTATGGACATTTTTGAAAACGTGTTTCTACTATTTATGGCATATAACTTTACAGCACTATTTAAATAAAACAAATGATTAATGTTATTTACACCTTACTCCAGGAGTTCAAGAAAAAATATTCTAGTCATTATTTTCTGTATATTCAAAATATGTTACCCCGTCTTACGGCATACAAAATAAAGCACCTGGCATACTCTTTCATGAGTTCTAAATTCCTAAAATTCAGAAATGTTTACCTTGCATATTCAATTAAACTATTGATATCAATGTGCTTATTATAAAATGTATTATTGATATTTAATAGTCATTCTAGAAACTTATTCAGGGACATGGCAAGGTTATTAAATATTTACCCAAGACATTAACATTAGTGCCTGTTGGTTGGGCCCACAGTTGATGACGCTGTCAGTCGAACATGATAATTATCCAAAAACAAAGAACCAAAGGGAACGACGTAGGTACTCACCTAAACTTTGGAGAATCCTTCAAGCACTCGCTGAAATCAATTTTACACGTCATGATGGGGGAGTTTTCTTTGCGAGATATCATCCAACTGGGCTTCTCTAGTTCCGACTCGAAAGCATATTTAGCTAAACCGACATGTAAAACAGGAACAACCTAGCAGCTACAGCCTAATCTTGTTGCTTTCCGTGTATTCTGTACACAGCAGCTGCAGTTGGAACTAATAATTGCGATGACGAACGCAAATGGGCACGGCTCGGTCACGTACGAAAAAGGTTTCCCTAAAAAAAACAGATCCTGCTCCACTCTGGACACTACGAATGTGACATTGAAACGATTTCACTGCACTTGTACTAGCAATAACGTAACGTAATCCGTGAAATAATGCGATAAACAGGGAGTAAACTGCAAAAAACTTTCACTGCTTGCGCATCCAACTCCGAAACAAAAATGCTCTGCGCCTGATGATGTATGTATCGAAATTTTACGTTTAGGTATGTAAGCTGTCAAAAGCTATGTTTTATGAATGAGTCATGCAAGAATGAATAAAAATCAGCACTGATGTTGTGTGTTTACTTTTGAATGAATTCAGCATAAGGAATTCATTCGCGGCTGACTACATTTGCCTCATCTACCAGAAAGAGGTGCGGTAGGATTTCTCGATGAATATTTCAACAGGATCTATTTAGACGTCCCAGAACAGGATCTATGTACTTTGATCGATTCTCTTAATCGACTTTCACTGCTATAAAAACAAATTTCACGCTATTTTTGCAATATATAGGTTGATAAAGGAGATTCCCATCTAGTATCCAAAACAAAAAAAATCAACAGTTCAGTGCCAACATTTCAAAGGGGCGTAATTGCTTTTGTAAACAATTACAATTGTAAATTTCTCGCGAATGAAATCTTACCTCTTCAAGATAACAATGCTAGCTGGTAGAGGAAACATTCCTCTACCTACTGGTGTCATTATTTTGGTTCTGTGACACTACCCCGAATGTCACTACCCCGAATGCCACTACCCCGAACGCCGTTACCCCGAACGGTACACTACCCCGAACGCCGTTACCCCGAATAGTACACAACCCCGAATGCCCATTACCCCGAATCCATTTCCAAAAGCTGTAAGCTGTATTTTTGTTTATTATAGTCACTCCTGGAATCTTCCTTCGCATATATAAAAAGAAGAGAAAAACTTCTTAATGGGTCAAGGGGTTTTAGGAGACCTTAATGGATCAAAGGGTTTTCCCTTGTTTGAAAATATAAGAAAAGGAAATAATTAATTCTTTGGATATACGATAAAGAAGGGAATATTTCCTTCTTTGCATATGGTTAAAAGAGAACATCATTAATTCGTTAAATGTATGATAAAGAAGGGAATATTCCCTTCTTTGGAAATATAACAAAAGGAAATAATAAATTCTTTGGATATACGATAAAGAAGGAAATATTCCCTTCTTTGAATATATAACAATATAAAATGACAAAAAAAAGTGATAAATTACTAATTTCATCATCTTTTCTGGGGAATGGTACATTCTGGGGAATGGTTTTCTGGGGAATGTTATAGAATCGGTGTAACTGGTATTATTAGCAGTAAAAACAAGCAGATTTTTTTCCAAAGGCATTATAATCCTTCACACAGCGATCTGAGTGTATGAGATTCACATGTTCTGCATTGAAGTTTCCCTCTTTACACAGCAAAAAAAAATGTAATATCGATCAACGTAATTCAAGCTGATGTATGAAATAATGCTGTAATAGCAAAAAGCAGATACAATATTACATCAATGGATGTAATTTTGTTCGCAAAATCGATGTACATCGTACAATGTGATATTACACAACCGATGGATTGACCTGGTTGCAGCAGTTTCGATGTAATATTCAACAACTTTTTTTGCTGTGTAGTGACACTTCAACAAACTTCTGGTCCAATTAAGTTTGAAAGAATAGCTCATGATCAAAAGAAGGAAAAATTCCAATTACTGTTTATTAAATTACTTTTTCTTCTTCTACAATTACATTCCAGTGTTTAAAAGTATGAAAACCTCAAAACTCCAAAGAACTGCTCATGTCTAAAAAAAAAAGGAAGAATTTCTCAACGGTGTTCCAAGAAACAAATCAAATAATGATGAATAATAAATGAACTGAAAACAAGCATACTGGTTTTGGATTATTATTTTATATATAAAAATGAAAATGCTTTAAACGGCTCAATACATTAATATAGGGAAAAGAGGGGCATAGTGAGCATCCTGTGCTTTGGGAATTAATTGGTAGTTGGGTTAATCTCATATTAAATCTTCCATTTGCATGGTTTGAAATTTAAGGTGGGTTGCAATCTGCTCACTATGCTCAATATATAGTAAGAAAATTGCCAAGGTTGAAAAATTCCTAACTTTTTTTTTTCGTGGATATGGCATTCGGGGAAATGTAGCACAATCCTTATCCTTTTAATCGCATGCTGTTCTTCCGTTTGTCTTAATTTCGGGGTTATGGTCATTCGGGGTAGTAGGGTATTCGGGGTAATGGCCATTCGGGGTAGTAGGACATTCGGGGTAGTAGCTTTCGGGGTAACGGCGTTCGAGGTAGTGACATTCGGGGTAGTGACATTCGGGGTAGTGTCACAGAATCCATTATTTTTCATGAGTGAGCTTTTAGCCAGGCATGGAAAATCATTTGCATTCATTTCGTGCATTCATTTACATTCATTTGCCCCTAACTTTTTTCATCAACAGAATACCGCAAAATGGTGTAAAGAGGTTTTGTAGGTTTTGTTATTAGCTACAACTTTTGTTCGCAACTTAGATCCGTATCTCTTATGTATGACGAACCAGGAAATCATTTTTTTTATAGCAAGTGAGTGGAAGCAACCCTGATTCTATGTATGAGTGCTCATTGCAAGACAGCCTATATTACGTGATATAGGCTGTAATGTGAACGGGGTATTAGGTAATTTTGAGTTTTGCATCCAGGTTTGCATCCCACTCTCACTCTCATCTGTCTCACTGAACGGTGCTCATTCAATCACCGTGTGTGGTGGTGTCCGGTCGTCAAAGGCAGCAGCAGCAGCAGTAACTAGCGTGTGGCGTACCCCACGAAAGGCAGCCTGCAAGCAGTGAGCTGCAGAGCCCACATGAGCACCCATAGAAGGAGGAAGAAGCCGCTGGATCGAAATCAGTTTCCTCGTGAGTAGCTGTGGGTCATCTATGCCAAGCGTGTCAACCTTGCTCCAAACAATTAACAGCTCGCCAACCACAACCCAATAGCTCAGCATTACTCAACCATCAGGACTAAACGGTCCTTTTCAGGACCACCACAAATTTGTTAAGGAGTATGTTTTGAATATTGTAAAGGTTATCAATCGGATGTCAGTTCCCGCAAGCAGTGCAAATAAAGTGCGGGTTGTGCTTAATAAGCCGGAAATGGAGTAGTGAACCCTATCTGACAGTACAAAACATGTCTTGTACCGCATTTAGATTAACATTCAAAGTCCCTCCTTTTTTACATATTCTGCTCAAACGCTACTTTCTGCCCCGCCCCATTCATACAATTTGGAAGGAAATCCTGAGAGGGGTGAGCTATTTTGAGTGCAGAATGTGTAAAGAAGGAGGGACTTCAGTTGTTAATCTAAATGCTTTGTTTCGATCGGCGCTTACATAAGAAATTTAATATGGATTATAGAATTTTTTGTAGGGGAATTGGCTCTAATGTTGGCCTAAGATTGGGCCCATCGCTAAAAATCTGCTACCAATTTTATCCAGATGAACGCGACATTGGGACGGTACAAATGGATATTTTTGGTTGCTTTTGAAAATTTAGTTGATTGCTGAATTTATGTATGAGCCAAAATTAGGGGCATAATGTTGAGGTAATTAATTGATTATTGAATTAGCACTCCATACATATACCATGAGAAAAGCAGCCTGTTTGTGAGTTTTTGCCTGTTTTCAAGTAAGGAGTTATTATAAAAAAGCAATTTCCCGGCGACTTTACAAATAAATAAAATCAAACCAAAATCATCATGCAGAAATAGGATTTGTTTCACTTCATAGTTCACAAAATTGCTTTCAAGTGTTATGACATGGTCTCCCGCAAAGTTTACATTTTGACATAGGATTACGTCTCTCGGCAACATATTGGGGATGCAATAAAAAAAAAAAACAAAATCGACCATGTTACCAAAAGTGGTCAGGTTTTGACCACTTATAACTTTGTCAATAGCGGATGGATTTTAATACTAAACAAGCCAATCGATTTGTAATTTTTCTTCAAAGCTGCTAAATTGAATACTTCATCAATTTTCAATAGGTCACTATTGAAAATTACACAAATGTCCAACTGTTGAAATGGTTATCAAAATTATCATCGATTGCCTGCAAAAAGTGGTTTCCCTAACATAGTCGTCAAATATTGATACGGAGCACGTAATTTTACGTCAGATCTACGGTCGAGTCTTGGATACAACCTCTTACTTTTTGTTGTTGTCAAAAACGGAACGAGAGAATCGATTTTCTCATGACTATCGTTCAGTAAGCTACTAGTGAGATATGAGATATTCTCAAATTTGAGTAAATTGAACTTAATTTTGGGTAGAAAATACTCATGAATAAGTGATTATTGTTGCCGTAGTCAAATGTAAACTACTATAAGCGGTTCACTGAAAATTAGCTTATTGAACGGAACATGGGAGATGAGTGAAAAGAACTTAATTTTGGGTAACTTTTCGGTTCCGTGTGTGAATGCTGCTATTCACCATAATTCACCACGACTCACCACAATGTATGCCTATCTATCCACCAAAGAGCATAGTCTTCTTCAGCTGCATATGTATTGTATAAAAATTACATATGGATTGCTGTGAGAACTGTCAAGATCCTATGAATTTACAGGTTGCATTAGTGTTCGGGAGGTACAGCTTGGATAGCTCAATTCATTTGGTTCATCCCAGGCGAAACATTTCCGAAGATTAATTCATCCACGACACTACACACGCAGCAACCTCGTTCTGCTTACGCTACAATCGAAGATACGTGACCGCGCTTGTGTGTGTGAGGAATGAAAAAATATTTTGCTGCTCAACTAAATCGGACGGGAAATCTGCCAACGACTGATATATTGTTGAAAAATAACTAGAAATTTCCTTTCCAAGTGTCCAAATTGTGTCCCAGAGTGAAATTTAAACGTTCAAAAGTGCAGTGGAAATAAAGTTTGCCCGGAATTCAAACTGGTAAGCGAGAAAAAAGTGTTTTGTCTAGACCATTGAAAATAACTCCCTCGAGAGTGTGGATCGAAGAAAGAGTTCAAGAATAAGTAAACGAAAAAAGGCCAAGATACGATTGTTTGCCACGAAAAGTACACCATTTTGCCTAGCAGAAATTTAAAAGAAAGAAAATGCAAAATTGCAAGTGATAAGCCTCTGCCTGCCGTCGAGTGGTGTTTATTGCACACGGGATAAATTGGTTTTTTGGGGCAGAAAGGAATAAGGCAATCGTGTGACGGGGATTGCAATGAGCAAAAAAGGTGAGCTGCTGACACTGCGATGGAGAGGATGACGGAAAATGCTGAAACGAAGAAGGAGCGCCATTACGGTGTCTGGGATTTTTCGGGTGTGTATTGAGAAGCGCAGACGTACATTTTATATGGTATAGCGGAATTGAGCAGCAAAACAACAACAAAAACAAAGTGAAAAAGTCTGTAGGGTATGGACGAATTTTGTTGGTCTAGTCTCCGCGCATGAAGAGGGTAAAACAAGTGCTAGCACTATTGGCTGGTGATGGCAGATCAAAACTTAGCCGCCTGGCCTCAGCGGGTAGCGGCAGGAGGAAGAGATGTGGATATGTGTGTACGCCGAACGCAATTCCTGTTTTATCCTGGTTTTAGCGCGCATAGCGAGGCGTGCATGAAGCATCAGAGAAAGAAGGGGTCAGTGGTCCTTACAGCTAAAAGATACATGGCAAACGATGGAATGGGAACGTATGAGTATGGAGTATATGCACAAACAGCCTGCTCACTGCGGAACGAATTTATTAGCGACGTAGAATAATGTTTTGCAAACAATAGAAAATACGACGTATGATGTCTGTTTTGATTGAAACTACGTAATTATTTTGTATTGGGGGACAGTGCTTAGAGCGAAATAAAAAACGTTGGTACAAAGTACATTATATAAGTGAAGGGTTGCCACATATTCTCCAGACCTACGCAGTTTTACCAACGTATCCTTGGTGTATTTGTAGCTCTAAGTAGAGATATTTGCTAGAAGAGCAAAAAAAAATGACGCAAACTGTGGATACACATCCGTCAGCAAAATATACATTGTGAATGACCTACAAAGGCGACGTCAGGTAACAGAGGTTTTCAAAATAGTAAGCTATTGAGTACAGCAGAGCAAAAACTACATGAGTAGGTACTGATGGTTTGGTGCGTTGGGTATGTGTGAATCGACAAATGGCACCCATACAGTTGCAAAACAAACGCAGGCAGGTAAAACGTGAAGAGAAACGCGCCGCTGCGGGAGCCATCACAAAAAAAGAATCAAAACACGCAAATGAATTGCCAATGCTAAGTCAATGACTCAACACGCAGAAGCTCTGGCTGCGGCACACTGTATATTTTCGTCTGTTTGGGTATAATGCCTTGTCCGTTGTGCCTCGTATTTTTCTTCTTCTGACGATTGCGTACAGCAACTGATGTGTAGAAGACAGTGTAGTGTTTGAAAAGACGTTGAACTTATTTTTCTTCTGCGTATGAACCCTCCTGGAGCCCGAATAATGCCAACAGAACTTTAAGCTTATGAACAAGTGAACGAACAGAGCAGGAGTAAATGAACCTTTTTTTCGATGTGCGAGGAATAACACTATTACTCTAGTGGTGTTTTTGGTGGCAGACGAATGTACTGTTCATGTGAGAGAAACATTGAATTGAGAGTTTACATTTTCAATGCGAGACTTGAAGTGGTATTTACGATCTATGACACACGTTCTACCGTTACACAAGGTTATGAAATATTTTTCATAACATTACACGAACTATGCATACCTTTGTATTCTGCGTAAAAAGGCTTAGGATGGCTTCCCGAGCAAAGTCTGAGATCAAATTGAAATCTTAATTTGATGTTGTGATTTCGCTGATAATGATTGCTCAGGTTGCTGTCGGTTTGGTCGTTTTAACGGTTAAAATACCAAAATTGAGAGCACAAAAATCTTCCTGTGACATCACACTGAAAACTATTTCTGCTATCAGTGAGAGCAAACTGAAAACTCAATTTGATATCAATTTTTCCTGTTGATAACAAAACAAGTATTCAATGTGGTGGTATGCTAAGGCAATGAAAACAAACCCGCAACAACATATTTTTGAAGAGCAAATGTACAGCAAAATAAAAACAAAATTTATCAATTGCATAAACTGAAATCAAATTAGGATTTCAGTTTGATGTTGATATCAAAACTTGATTTCAATTTGCTGTCATTTTGATGCTGGACTTTGCTCGAGTTAGCACTAAACAATTTTCCTGCTATATTTTGCAGATATTTTGTTAGATACAATACAATAGAGGATCTTCAAAAAAAAAACACATTTTGTTAGAAACCTACGGAAAAGGCCGAAAAGGAATTTGATCCGATTTTTATGAAAGCAAAACCAATTCCTGATAGTCAAAAATATCATTCTTACATTTCAGTTTCAAACAGCATAATTGTAGTTAATATATTCTCTAATTCTAGTGACAATAAGTAAGTCTGACAGCCACCATGTCATGAATTGTTTGTTATTTAATAATCAATCATGGAAAATGCATTTAGTTGCTAGACATCACGACTAACATTCGAGAAAGGTTAAAAATGTTGTTAAGACATATTTTTCTATTTTAAAAATTAGCAATAACGTGAGAACGGCTGGACTTAGGAAAAAATGTGTATGTGCAAATTTATTAAAAATGATGCGTAGGATTAATTTTTGGCCTCATTTTACAAAAAAAGTTACTCTTGAAGAAAAAAATCATATTTCAATTGAATTGGCAACCTTAGGTTGTAGTAGCCAACATATGAGCAAAGCTTCATACAAATCGGAAACAATCATGTTAAGCCGGTTTGCGTTTTGAGCTAGAAATGTTTCATTCAAAGTGTTTTTATGTTACTTCATACGCGAAGTTAGCGATTTTCAGAGTTGGTTGAAAATGCTGACATGAAGCTTTAGTGTGATAATTTATTAGTTAGAGAATGATCTTTAAAAGAGGGTAGGTGGATAGTTCCGTTAGAGTACAGCAGTATGAAAATTGATTAGAAGTTGAAAATGACCGAAGGGCCATTAATGCGACAGTTTTTAAGTCAGACGCACATCTTTTGCCTAACCCGTACGATGTACGCGGAGACTTGAAGTATGTCTTCAAGGCTACAGGCAAAAAATGTGCGTCCTCCTTTTGCACAAGCTAGTGAGCACCATAGTTCGAGTCGTCCCTCGGTATTGTGATGAAATAATAGCCTATCAAGACTGCAATTGGTAAACTCTCGAAAAATAAAAACTTCAAAGTGAGTGAGTTAGTTCGAATTATTTAAGAGATAATGAGAAACTGCTCTGAAATCGATTGAGCCATTCCACTGTACATCGGGCTTTTGGTCATATTTGTTAAAAAGTCGACAAATTCAATGTAGCCTTATTTCTAACCGTTAATCGTTTCTAAGAAATCCGCAATCGTCTGTGTAGAACAATGCGTAGCACGTTATTTTTTTTCTGGATTTTCCTAATAAATCGCACACAAGAAAATAAGGTCTGCACCAGCCTCTGCACCGCACTTCTGCCTAGTCACGAAAGGTAACCAGCGCTGAACTCGTGCAACAGCACAGCCGTTTATAGGATGACTGTTGTTTACTTGCTGAATGACGCAATACATTTATCGGCAAAGCTCCAATACACTGTTCAAAACCGTACAAAACGTAGGGAAACTAAAAAAAAAAACATTCCATGGTTGAAGTCACTTCATAAACTTATAAAGTTGCAGCATGCTAAAAATAGTAAAGCTCAACAATTGGAGAAATCGTTTGAAATTTAAAAATAGACTCACTGTCCCTCCATTCCGTTCCACCCTCGGTTCCACCAGAGGAAATTTACAGCTAAGCTGAAAGTCATCACTGGCGCACTGACGTTGGCTCGTGTATCAGTAGCACGGCGTGTCTCTGATAATGATGATGTTGGCACACGTGCCACAAATAAACCCTGGGCTAGGCCATATACCATATACAACCGGATAGATATGCGCAGGATGGATGAATACTACCGCTGTATTTTTCTCTTTCCATTTTTTTTTCTGTTATCAACCATGACCTGCTGACGCAATGCGAATAAGGGGATCTTTTGGAGAATCGGTCGCAACCGGAAAGTGTTGTTTTTCGCGCGCGTGAACAGATTACGGGTCTGCGACTTCTCAAGAAAAACAGTTGCCCGTTGCTGTTTATGTTCGGTCCAACACTGTGTTCAAATACAGATGTATTCGCGAGGCGCTTATCGTTAGTTAAGCAATGTGGTGTTGTTGTTCAGTTCCGCTTCGGGGAAATTAGTGCGATCGGCATTTCCACTATTTTATCACTGAAAGGTGTGTAGGCAGTTTCTGAGAATTAATTTTGCTTGTTTGCTGTGAGTGTTTTGCTGAGCTAACGCGTTCTCAAAAGTTGTTGTTTTCGAGTGAAGTTCAATCATGAAATGGAATAGATAACGTCGATTACTTTGTATTTGTATTTGAACTTAGATAATGCATTGGAGCTTCTATTGCTAGGGAGCCTCTTTTGCTATATATATTAGTTGTTTTCTTGAAATTCATGATTATCTCTGTTGAGTGATAGATTTGGTGCATATTACCTTTAAAATGGAGGCTGTAGTAATTGCTCATTTCGCAGCATTTTAGGGTACGACAAATTTAAGACTATAATGTGAGAGGGGGGCGTTATATTTAAATTTGAATACTGATATGCTTGAAAAATATCAAGCTAGTGAATCAAGCTTCGAAAAATCTTCTTTTATTCGTCGCGTCTTAATTTTTATACGTGCATCGCTCTCCATTTTTTCACAAGAAATCTCCCAAATCTTCATAAATCCTCTTTTTATCTACACAGCTTGCGAGTGTCTCCCCGAGCAAAGTTAGAGATCAAATTGAAATCAGAATTTGCTGTTATGATGTAACTTATTTTGAATACACCATTTGATCTCATTTTGGTTGACTTAATGGTTAACACAGCAAAAATGAGAGCAACATTTTACACTATTGAATCAAACGGAAAACTAATCCTGCTTCCAATGTGAAAAGACAGCATAGGCTTTCAAATAAACATAAGTTTAAAAATCTTCAAAATGCACTTTAATTTTTTTGCTATTTTAGTTTTGTTTTAACCAAAATTTGAGATTTTTCTGCAGAATTTATTTTATTTTCTAAAAGTCTTTCAATTTTCCTACAACTTTTTATCAGATGTTATTTCGATAAGATGAGCCATTTTCGTGCAAGGATTTATTGAAAAGTATCGAATACTCCATTTTGAAAAACTAAGCGCGAATTAAAATGTCCCAATTCCAGGACAAGCTTGGTTTATTGCTGCTTGCGAACAAATATGCCAGGAAT